TATATATATATATATATATATATTTTATCTTACATTCTTATTATGTGGTATTGAATTAAATTTAAATTCTTATACGTAAAAAGTTTGGTGTAATTAATTTTCAACCAAATACTTTGTTTTTTCTTTAACATTTTATTTGTACATAACCATTTTATGATATCGGTGACATTATAAAAAATAATTTTATGTTTCATTATGTAAGTATTGTTTAGATTTATGCTATAAGGGCCTTGGTACGTACTTTATATAAAAGTCAAGAACTGGTAAATATGTTTACTTTGAAATGCTTTAGTCCAATTTAATTATGAATGAGTATAATTGTTAACTAGAAAAATGGTAAATTCCATTCAAGTAAAATATTTACAATTAAGAAATTTACAAAATGTTTATAGTTCTTGCCGATAAAAAAAATGTTTATAGTTCTATAACAGTTTTATCATAGTATCAGTCAGTTTTATCATATTATCTTAAATTTTGGATTACATAAAAATTATACAAAATTTCATGCAATCCAAATGACACGCTTCCTTGTTCTTCGGATTAACCATTTCTTTAGTTTTTTTTTTAAGAATTAAATATATATATTTTTTAGCTTTAAGGGAAAAGTGGAATTAATTTTTATTTAAATTTAATCTCTAAATTTTAAAAATATGTGAATTTGATTTTTTTTTAATTTTTCTTTAAAATTTATTTATTTATTATGTGTGAAATAAAATAAATAACTTAAATAATTTTCGTTAAAGAAAAATGTATTAAATAAGATAAATAATTCAAATAAAATATCAAAAGTATATACATTCAAATTTCATCATGAATCAAATTTAAATAATTAAATAAAATTAAAAAAATTTGATTAAAAATATTAAATTCACGTATTTTTTAAATTAAAAAATAAATTAAATCAAAATTTTGAATAAGAACTAATTTTAATTTTTAACTGTTAATGATAATTTTTTTAAAGAAAATGAATTTGAAAAGAAAAATTAAAGTACTGGAAAAGTTCACATTATAACCTCAATAATCATAATGAAGAAGAAGAATCATTCTGTCTATTTGTTTAGGGCAATTAAGCCGCAAATCATGGGAAAAAACGCGTTAATTAATATGGCTATAATCACCAATTTTCAAAGATGAAATATAGAACTTAATTCCACATTATTTGTTGGGAGTTTAATGTGACATGTAATTTGTGATAATTAATTTCTGAGAAGTTTACTTAGATGAATGATAATTTAGATTCTGCAGTAGTAATTTAAATGTTGTTAAATTTGATATAAATTATCTCCTAAACTCTTGGAATTCGTTTGGCTTATGAAATTGAAGACTAGATTAATTTCGTCCTTAAATTATGACGATTAATTAAAATAAACTCCAAAGCTAATAAAATAACAAATAATTAACAGAAGAATTACATCATTCTCTAATCATAGAGTCTAGTTGCTTTTCTATTTTTTTTTTTACTTTTTTTTATTGTTATAGACCATTTCTCAATTTGATTCACGTGAGTAGACTATTAAAAAAATTATTTCTGGACTATTTTTCTGTTCAAATATAATTATTAAAAATTATTTATTACATAAATTATTTTAATCAAGTAAATATAAATTTATAAAATTAATCTTAAGAAAACAACCATAATACAATATTTTATTATAATAAATTTTCTGTTATATAATTACAGTATATTTAAATTATCTTATTTATTATAATTACTATTCCAATTTTTTATTTTTGATTAATTTACAAATATTAAATTAAATATATTTTTAAAATTTATAAATTTGTAATGAATTAATTTATTATATATAAATATGCAGATCTATTAAATTAGAAAAAAAAAACTGTTGCTAAGGATTAGTTTCTAAAAAAACAGAATTTCAGTAGTAAAGAATATGTAAAATTTTAAAAAAAAATATTATGGGAATTTAGTCTTTCAAATGGTCTAGGTTTGGAAAATAATTGTTTTTTTTTAACCTAGTAACGTTAATAAAGTTTATGTTCTTTTGGATAATTATATTAAAGACACGCACAATATAACATCCCATAATTTCACACTCGACATTTAATACCACTCATAATGAATATAAAGGACTTCATACAAGATACCTATGTGTGTGGGTGTGTGTGTATATATATATATATATATATATATATATATATATTTAAACTCAAGTTTCAACTAAAAACTCATAAATACAACTCAAGCTCTTCTAATTTATTCTTATATCTCTTCCTTCATTGGCACTGAATCGAACGATATTCCTTCCTCTGCTCCCGTATAACGAATTATACGATCATCGCAAAAACACAAACACAAACAAGTAGGGGTGAGCTAACATTACACAAATCATTTGTAAAACATGCATAATTACATTGATACACTTAACAAACATCATATAATAATTATGTCATACACCCCACATACTATCATACAACAATCGCACCATAGACACTCATCCCATCATACCACAATCCCTAATAGACAATTATCCCACAATATTCCTTGTGATGACTTCTACTTATTCTTACAAATACACTTCCAAATATTTTATATCATCCACAAGGTTAGTCCTCAACACTATGTCCAAAACCGGCACATAGACCAGGACCTCCTGTCCCTCTCACCACATAATTCATCCTTCTCTACTTGAGATTGGATGATTATTAGAGTATTAGGATAACGTCCAACAAC